TGAACTGTGTGTATTTTGTTTATGAGTAAAGTTCTTGGCAAGTAGCTACTGGGTTGCTGCCAAGCTTCTTATCGGAAGAATTGGTTGTCTGCCAGTTTATTTAACCCCCGGCTGTCTGTTTGTGTGCGTGTGTGAGACGGGGACAGAACACCTTTGGGGAATTACTGCATGGTATGCCTGTGGTTATTTTAACCTTACATTTATGTAATATATATATTGCCATTATGTACCATGATAATCACCGTAATGGCAGTCTGGAGAAGAAATTATGAAACGGCAGAAACAGAAAGCAAGATTTTGAAAGCTGCCTACGGGGAAATGTAGTACAGAGAAAAGAGACAGTGGAGTTTGGAATCTCTGGTTGGCAGGAAGGTGGACACCCTCCTAGCAATTCAGATTATGTGTATCATGTAGTTCTCCAGATAGCTCCTGTAATCTGGCAAGATTCTATCTATAAGCCAACAATGAAGTACTGCTCAGAAGTAACTCCACATGTTCTTGGGTCTGTGGGCCCCACACTACTAGATCAGAGGTGGGTTTCAGCAGGTTCTGACCAGTTCTGGAGAACCGGTAGCGGAAATTTTGAGTGGTTCGAAGAACCGGTAGTAAAAATTCTGACTGGCCCCACCCCTATCTATTCTCTGCCGCCCAGGTCTCAGCTGACCAGGAGGAAATGGGGATTTTGCAGTAACCTTCCCCTGGATTGGGGAGGGAATGGAGATTTTACAGTATCCTTTTTCTGGAGTGGGGTAGGAATTGAGATTTTACAGTATCCTTTCCCTGTCATGACCACCAAGCCACACCCACCAAGCCATGCCATGCCTACTAAGCCACACCCACAGAACTGGTAGTAAAAAAAATTTGAAACCCACCACTGTACTAGATACGTTCTGGAAAACTTTCCTGAGGTAAATGAAACATTGGAGAAGTGAAACTGGCTGTTCCGGAACCGCTTAAGATGTATATTTATTTCACACATGTTCATGTACATACAGATATGTACACGAATATACTACTTTGGATTATTTCTTTATTGTACTGAAATAAAGGGCAAAATATAAATCTAATCAATAATAAACAATAAAGCTTCTTTAATGTACAGGATCTTTTTTTTTCTTTCAGCCTAGCATATGTGAAAGAAAAGGTTAGCAAAACAACCAAACTTTTTTTTTTAATCCTACCTTTGTTTCTTGATGTTAGAATGTATAGCTAATTGAAAGTAGACTTAAATGATTTTTTTATACAGTACATAATAAATTGGTGGAATTTAAAGCTATCATATGATAGGTGCCAGGCATTAAGAGAGAAATACAGACAATCATCAGAGTTGCCACTGGGGATAGGAGGGAATATGACCAGTCATGGCAACAGGTTAGAAATAAAAATAAGGCACTCCCAATTAACTGAATTTATATTGATACAATATACAGAGGAAAGAGAGTTCAATAATCCACAATGCAATTATCAACATTAGAATATATATATATAAAGTCCACAAATATGCAAATGATAATGATAATTTGGCACAGTATTAGAAATACCAAGCTTTCAATCCAATATGGATATCAACTTACATAAAGTAAGCCCATCGGTATGGAGATGTGTCAATGGTTGAAAGAGATCCTAAAGTTCACCAATTAGTGTCAGGTAATACTGACACACAAAACAGCAGAGGAAAATAAATACAGATAGTTCTCGCCTTACAACAATTTCGTTAGTGACTGTTTGGAGTTACAAAAATGTAAATCTGAAAAAGAATCATAAGTCTGTGCTGAAAAAAGGGACTTATGACCGTTTTTCAGATTTATGACCCTTGCAGCATCCCCCCATGGTCATGTGATCCAAATTCAGACCCTTGGCAACTGACTCATATTTATGACGGTTGCAATGTCCCTGAGGTCATGTGACCACCTTTTGCGACCTTCTGACAAGCAAAGTCAATGGGGAATCCAGATTTACTTAACAACCATGTTACTAACTTAACAATTGCAGTGATTCACTGCAGTTGTTCAACTGTGGCAAGAAAGATCATAAAATGGGACAAAGCTCACCAACTGTCTTGCTTAGTAGTAGAAATGTTGGGCTCAATTGTGGTCATAAATTGAGGATTATCTGTATTCCCCATAACAAATCAAGAGGCAATGAATGCTACAAAACTGCAGAATTCTGGTGGTGGTGACACTAGTCTAAGCTTCTAAGATTAAAAAGAATTGTTCCATTAAAAACCAGTGGCCAACCTATATTGAGAAATAGGCATTTGCACAAGATTTAATTTTGAAGGGGGAAAATGTAATTGTCAGGCTGCATGGATAATCTTGGTGCACAAGTATAGGAATACTATATATATGCAACATTTATACATTAACTGGACTGGTCTTTCTAAACCTGAGGTACACTGAATGAAGTCATCCATGAGACAACTTTAAAATTAATGACACATTCTGCTCACAACTGGTTTTTTTTTTTTAAGAATACAATAGAATTCTTTATTGGCCAAATGTGATTGGACACACAAGGAATATGTCTTTGGTGCATACGCTCTCACTGTACATAAAGAAAAATAAAATACATTCATCAAGAATCATGTTACAATACTGAGTGATAGTCATAGGTTACTAATAAGCAATCAAATCATACCAGGAAACAAAGAAAACAATATAAATTGAAAATATACAAACAACATGGTTGAAGTCATAAGTGGGAGATGATAGGTAATAGGAGGGATGAGAAGAATAATAGTAATACAGTCTTAATAAATAATTTGACAGAATTGTGGGAATTAGTTGTTTAGCAGAGTGATGGCTTTCGGGGGGAAACTGTCTTTGTGTCTAGTTGTTCTGGTGTATAGTGCTCTATAGTGTAGTTTTGATGGTAGAAGTTGAAACAATTTATGTCCAGGATACGAGGGGTCTGTAGATATTTTCCCAGCCCTTTTTTTGACTCATGCAGTATACACGTCCTCAATGGAAGGCAGGTTAGTAGCAATTGTTTTTTCCGCAGTTCTAATTATCCTTTGAAGTCTGTGTCTGTCTTGTTTGGTTGCAGAGCCAAACTAGACAGTTATAGAGGTGCAGATGACAGACTCAGTAATTCCTCTGTAGAACTGAATCAGCAGCTCCTTGGGCAGTTTCTGAGTTGGCGCAGAAAGAACATTCTTTGTTGTGCTTTTTTTAATGACATTTTTGATGCTAGGTGTCCATTTTAAGTCTTGAGATATGTTAGAACCTAGAAACTTGAAGGTCTCTACTGTTAATACTGTGTTGTCTAGTATTTTAAGAGGTGGTCATATAGGAGGGTTTCTCCTAAAATCTTCCACCATTTCTACAGTTTTGAGTGTGTTCAGTTCCAGATTGTCCTGGTCACAGCACAAGGCTAGTTGTTCAACCTCCCGTCTGTATGCAGATTCATCGTTGTCTCGATTGAGACCAATTACTGTTGTATCATCTGCAAATTTCAGTACTTTTAAGAGAGGGATCTTTTGAGATGTAGTCATTGTTGTATAGAGAGAAGTGGAGAGAGCACACAGCCCTGGGGGGTTCCTGTGCTAATTGTACGGGTATCTTATGTGATTTTTGCCTAGCTTCACCTGTTGCTTCCTGTCTGTTAGGAAGCTTATGATCCATTTAAAAGTGTAGTCAGGTACAGCTAGCTGATTTAGTTAGAAGAATATCTGGAATGATGGTATTGAATGCTGAGCTGAAGTCTACAAAGAAAAAGTTTTTTGTATGAATATGAGTAATCCACAGCACATTAGTGATCTAGGGTTTTAGCATAATTTACTCAGTATGCCATCTGCACTGTTGTTATTGAGCAACAGTATATTCAAAGAGTTTGGCTTAGTTTTTACTAATCTTGTGCATGTAATGCCATATTTGGGCATCTGTGTTCACATTTTTTAATTCAGTCTTCTGTAACTGTTCATCAGCACCCTAACCTGTTTTTTCAAATAATTTCTATCCCTGCTTTTTAATAGTCTAGCAGAATTTCTACTCTCTGCTTTATATTGTAGGATGGATTTCATGGGTGTCACTTAGATCTACAGATGAAGGGCCAAATAAGGTTCTTCCACATCCCGTTAACTGCCTTTCTTATGTCAAGTTTCGAGGTTATCTCAAATAAATTGCATTTCAAACAAAGTCTTTGAAAGAAAACTCCTATTTATTAAGCATGACATTCTGGACCTGACTCCATCGAAGCCAACACTGACTTCCAGACCCAAAACCCTCCCTTTCCGTTCCCCACTCCCCTGCACTCATTGGCCATCTTCCAAGTCATTCTACCCCTAATCTACTGCTCCAACTCAAAGGAATTTCCCCCCTCCCATCCCATCTCCTAGGGGATATTATCTCCAGGGAAAATAAGTAGGTGAAAAGTCAAACGTCCCTTTCCAGATGCCTCCGCTTCTCCTTCTCATGTCAGCACTAGAATAAATGCAGCTTGAAGTGGTGACACTTTACTTAAATCCTCCATTCCATTTATTCCACAAATTCTGTTCTGTTTCATCAAGTCTGGGCTATGACTGCTGAATTTCTGTTGGCTTACATCTCCTTGGCTGCCTCCTTCATTGTGAATAGTCTCCAGCTCTTGAGATCTCCTCACTTCAGTCCTTTCATGAGATAAACCAACATTGGGGGGGGGCTTTTATTTTGGTCCTTGTTAGTTTAAACAGGTAACAGCACCTGGCCAACCAATTCTGGCGTCAGAAACTAAGCAGTCAGAGCTGGTAAATATTTACATGGGAAGCCTCCAAGAAATAACAGGATGGTGGACTACATTTAGAAGCTGGAAAAAACAACCTGGAAGGAAGCAAGGCAAACCATGTCTATACTGTTGCCAAGGAAAATATTTGGCTACCTTCTTTGAGATCCCAGGGACTGAGCATGATCAAAAGAATTTTTAAAAAACTTTTTAGACTCTGGAATAATGAGACACCTTCCACATTGTCTGTGATTTAAAAGCAAGATACATTTTTGTGAAATGAGAGCTGACAAAGATCCAAGTTAATTAATAAGAAACTTTATTTAAAAAGAACAAATTTATCCAAGAAACTGCCCAGCAAAAGAAAATATAAATTAGAGAAAACTAAGTTGGGGGAATCTTTGTAGCAGTCCCCTTCCTTCTAACTTCCAAGATGGAAGATAAAGTTCTAAGGAAAGCTCACTCTCAATGATGAGAGCATAGACATCCACAACCCCAATCACAACTGAGGACAGACAGGAGAAAGGGAAGGTTGACACAATTTATTTTCTCCAAATCCTGCTACAGTGGCAGCAGCAAGCCAGAGGCCCAGAAGCATCTCATCCACTATATTTCTTCTGCTCTCCTACTTGACTTTAAACTTAAAGAGGACAGTGTTCTCTTCTCTCCTTTCTTTTCAGAAGACACCCCGCCTCGCAACTTTAAAGCCTTTCTCTGGCACACCAGTTCCAGACTGCAAAAACGCTGAAGACCACTGAGTTCAACTGTTCAATGTGACAAGCTGACTTGGGAGGGGAGATGCAGCAATGCCTGTGGCTCTATTATGAGACAGCTGGGAAAGGTTCAGGCAAAGAAAGCTTGCAGAATTTGAATGAAAAAATTAAAAAAACATATGCAGACTTTGTTACTGCTTGCGTTTCTTAGTTATGGCTCAGTTATATTAAAATCTCTTACTGGTTAAAAGCTTACTGTAAATCAAAATATGAAACCATGGATTGATGTGAGTTTGCACAGTCATTAAAATAATGCATCTACACCAGGGCCCCCAACCCCTGGGCCATGGCCCATTCAGAACCAGGCCACCCAAGCAGCGGGCAAGCACGCAAGCGCATGCAGCTCCACTTTATGTGAGTGGCAGGTGCACACGCTTGTGTGCGGTGCTGCATTTGTGCGAGTGGCAGACACCTGCTGCTTGTGCAGAGCCATTCTCTCTCTCCCCCACCCCGAGTCGCCAGGCCACGAAACCAGAAAGGTTGAGGAACACTGATCTACATAATGCAGATTGTGATAAAGCAGGTTTGTCTGATTTTCCAACCTTCATACCAGGTAACAGAACAAACCATTTCTGCACCTCTAGGCTAACGTGGATAATTAAATCATAGTTTCATTTTAGGTCACTTTAGATGCTTATCAAAATCAAGACAAACCCCTCCCTCCAAACTACACACATTTAGTAAGGGAGGTCATTGTCTGTTGCTGAATTAGAATTTAAAAAAGGAAAAAAAACCTAAAATGAATAGACAGTCAATTCTTTCATTGACAGTCATGATTATTACAGTACTTAACATTTGTCCTCTAGAGGGGAAAATCTTCTCCTGGCCAAAGAGAAATACAGTTATGATTACTTTTTAATATAACTGAAATAAATACAAAGCTTTTATCTACCTAGGCAAAACTGTATGTGTGTGTTTATTTCCCAAGAAATATAAAAATTACTCTCATTCCAGCCATATTTGTGTGTGTGTAAAGAGTACTGATTTCTACAAACTCAAATGCAGGAGATTATTGTTAATATTCAAAACAAATAGCTTCCCTTCATTCAAATTATCTGCAACGAATGTCACAAGGAGTGGCAATCATCTCAAACTATTGATCCAACTGGAAACTCTTCCAACTGTTGCCACTTGGTAAAATTATGTTGACAAGTCAAGAGTTGCTTAGCCGAAAGCTTCAGATGTGACCTCTTAAATTTTCTGACTTAGCACTACTTTGGCCTTGGATAATTTTGTTGCGTTTCTGCACCACTGTATTTCGACTCTTCTGTCATTCTTAAAAGCAGAATTTCACATCTTCAGAGGCTCATTGTAACCCTGTGTGACTCAGCGTTCTATGCTTACCTCCCTCCTCTCAAGAATCATACCTGAATAAAAAGTATTTTGGAAAGACAAAGTTCCTTCTGGAAAAAAATAATGCCCTTGAAATATAATGGGGGAAATAACATGACTGTAATTGCCAGAGACACATTATTTGTTTGTCACCGCTTACTGTTCCAACCATTTTCAATAACATGTAAACAATCAAATGCTTTCTGAGCAGTTTTAAACAATGAAACATACAGCTGCAAATACACAGATGCTTCAAAAATCATTGTTAGCCCTTTCTGTATAGCTTTTAATTCTATCTTTGGAGAAAGGCATAAAAAGATCCTGTAAATCACAACCGTTTCGAGCATTTACTTTCCAAAGCATATCCCAAGCATTAAAGTCTTATACACTTCTCTTGAACATAAAAGAACCCCAATTTAACAGTGTGCTCATTTGGACATGATTTGAGAGTGCGATCAGTATGCTATTTAAATTTAGTCTTTCCTCCCTCACATACACATAAAATCAAGCATTATCCGGGCTGAGATTAACTTTAAGTGCGGGATGGATATCCCTATGATGTCTCCCTTCACTCCCCGCAATCTGGATCACGACATTGGTACTGAGCAAACTGCAGTTCAAACGTTAAGCAAAAAATTCAAGACTAGCTCGTATCAGCTTGTATGACGTTGGCTGGCGTAGCTGAAGAAATTAGCATTTAGAGAGGCTTAAAAGACATCCTTGAATCAAGTTTGACTCCTGTGATTATATCCATGAAGTTTTCTTGGCAAAATTACAGAAGTGTCTTTCCATTAGCTTTTTCCAGGATGTTCTTATTTAAACTTTCCACTGTTCCAATAGCCCTGGAATTCTCAAGCAGTTCTCCATCCAAAACTAACCAGGTTTCAGCCTGTTTATCTTCCCAAAAATCAACCATATTCATCTATGCATAAATTTGTAACCATGAAAAAATACTAATATCAAGAATACTCTGGAGATATTACCACAGTAATATATGGTAACTCTGCATAAGCTGCATATAAATATAACTCTTTTTTTTTTAAAAAAATCTGGACATTATAATTCTCATTTTACACAAAGCTAATCGTCAGCTGCAGGTCTACCCATATTCTTTGACAAGAAGGTAATAATATATAATAACACAACATTTTCATTTCAAGTTTCAACTATAAAAATAATGAAATTGGTGCATTTTGCTTCAAAACTTTCCATTAACGCTCATAAAAAATTGCATACACAATGTTCTGTATGACAGCAGTGGGGCCTTGTTAGACCTCTTTCAGATTCTTGAACTACTGTTTGAGGAAAAATATAATCAAAGCAAACTACAGGCAATTCTTTAAGCTACATTTATATAAGTGCTATGTGTATATTACACATATATATGAGAGAGAGAGAGAGAGAGAGAGAGAGGGAGGGAGGCAGGGAGTGAGAGAGAGAAAGAGAGGGAGGGAGGGAGAGAGAAAGAGAGAGAGGAAGGGAGAGAGAGAAAAAGAAAGGGAGGCAAGGAGGGAGGGAGGGAGAGACAGAGAGAGAGAAAAAAGAGAGGGAGGGAGGGAGGAAAGAGAGAGAGAACTCATAAAGGTTTGAAAGACGTGCTTTCAGCAGAAACAACAGCAATACAAAGAACAGAAAACAAGAGACACATTTTTGTTCTAACATTCAAAGATACGTTGATCTAGATGACACTAAGGCCTATCTCCACTCCAATTAAGAGTGGGCTGTTGTCTTGTCCCATTCTACTATTTTATTTAACCATGCTGAACTAAGTGTCAGCAATGGTGTAGTACAGGTAGTTCTCAACCTACAACCACAATTGAGTCCAAAATTTATGTTGCTAAGTGAGACATTTGTTAAGTGAGTTTTGCTCCATTTTATGACCTTTCTTGCCATAGTTGTTAAGTGAATCATAGCAGCTGTTAAGTTAGTAACACGTTTGTTAAGTGAAATCTGGTTTACCACTGACTTTGCTCGTCAGAAGGTTGCAAAGGAGGACACTGTAACAATCATAAATATGAGTCAGTTTCCTATTCACTGTTGTCAGTTCAGTCTGAATTTTGATCATGTGACCATGAGGATGCGGCAATGGTAGTAAGTGTGAAAAATGGTCATAAGTCACTTCTTTCAGTTGTAACTTTGAACGGTCACTAAATGAACTGTTGTAAACCGAGGATTACCTGTAGTTAAGTGTTGCTCTAGGAGCAGAAAGACCCAGATTTAATCCTTGCTTAGACATGGAAACTTGCTGGCTGATTTTGAACGTAATCCTAACTTTCCCAGACCTGATCACGGTCAGGCTCTGTGACAAGCTGGAGTGATAAACAAAAACTCTTATTGCATTGATAGCTTCACTGGAACTAGGCAAAACAATGCAAAGAACAAGCAGACCCTGTAATTATTTGGGATTAACACTAAGAACCACTACACCTTTATTCATATGGAAGTGGTCAGCAGGGGTTTTAATTGTTGTTAAACCTAGTTACATTCCAGCATACTCCGAAATTCAACCTGCTTCAAATCCCAGCATAAGGATTCCAAATTTGGAAAGGCACTATATCTGACACTGGAAAGGGAAGTAGGTGATTGTACAACATTCATACAACTAAGCTAATCCGGTCACTCACTTTCCCAGCCATCTACATTCAAGTGCCACTTCAGGATGGTTTTGTCACTCCCACAGCCAAGACATGAAATGAGTTTGCCAAGAAAAACAGGAAAAAAACTCAAAGACTAATTTCCAGAGTTCATTGGGAGTCTAGCAGCAAGAATTCTCATTCCGTTGTAAAACTTCAGTCCCTGGTTAGAAAACAAGTATGGTAAAATTCTGCCTGACCAGTGACTTCAGTATTTGCGCTGCTGGTGATCCACCACTGTAAAGAAAGCACACACAGCTGCTGTGATGAAAGTATGGACTCCCTCATAGAGGAGTTTTGGTGAAAAGACGCTCCAGATAAAGAGGTGGTATCGCAGTCCTGTGATCAGAATAATATATACCGCAACTGGGATGGAGCGCAACAGTGCATAACAGAAACAGCCATGCCCGATCGCTGCAGGATTCCTGTGGTGTTTAAAAAAAAAAAAAGAGCACAAAACACAATTTGTTCATATTTGAGTCCTCATTTAAAAATTATTGGTTCATTCACATTATCATTATCATCTTTGTAACAATTTAACATTGAGACTTAGTTCTTACACCAAACACATCCTTATATGAATTAATAAATTTCTGTTAACATATTCTGTTCCTCTAACATTCTAACTTCCCTCTGTGATTGAACATGAAAAAGTAATGTATAGATGGATGGTTTAAAAAAAAGTGATTATGCTGGGATAAGCAGCAAACTAAGGTGATTATGCTGGGATAGACAAAGATGATTATACTGGGTATAACAGTAAAAATAAAGATAATTATGCTGGGATTGACAGTAAAATAAGATGATTATACTGGGTATAACAGTAAAATTAAAGAAGACTATGCTGAGATTAACAGCCAAAAGAAGATGATTAAGATGAAGATTATATACTGGGATAAACAGTTAAAATAAAGATGACTATACTGGAATTAATATTAATAATGAAATGATTATGTTGTGATTAAGAGTGAAAACAAAGGTGACTATGCTGAGATAAATAGTAAAATGAAGATGATAAATGTTAACAGTTAAAATACTGTGTACATATCTTGATGATTTATCATCATCAATGATGATTTATTTTAAGATATATCCAGCCAAGCTAAAAGAAAAAGAAATTGAAATTGAAATGATATTGGGTTAAGGATTTTAAGATTTAAGAAATGGGTTTTAAGACATTTGTAATTAGATAGAATTTATGGCAATAATGGTATAGAATATTAAGTTGTATTATTTGAAAATTAAGATTTGAGGTGAAATAATAGAAAGGTAAATTGATTCATGTAAATTAATATAAGTTAGACTTTTTTTTTGCTTTTTTTTTTTTTAAAGCTGGTATTTAGTGGGAATTTGGAAAAAGCTTTTGTTAAAGAGGAATTGGTAATTGTACCTACTTATGACCGGATCAATGGCTCATTCTGAAAAGATGTATTGTATGTTTGTGTTTTAAAAAAATAAAAAAAAATTGGGAAAAATTATTGGTTGAAAAGAAAACAAAAGATGAATCTGCATTTTAGATTACTGCAATGCGCTCTATAGAGGGCTGCCCTTGAAGAGTATTCAGAAAGGAAGGAAGGCAAATATACGTGTCCCAGGATAATAATGTTGCAGGATCCAATCGGGGTCACCAGGATCAGAGATTTATTCTTCCAAGTTTTCGGATTCGTATTGGAACCCGTCCTCAGGGAACTTCTCTCTCCCCAGAATGTGTGAGAGAGAAGTTCCCTGAGGATGGGCTCCAGGACGTGTCCGAAAGCTCAGAAGACTAAACCTCTGTTCACAGTGACCGACCCAAATTGGATCCTGTAGAATTTGGAAACTTCAACTGGTGAAGAATGCAGCTGTGCCAGTAGTAAATGATATCAGATACCCAGCGTATGTAACACTACTACTACATGAGCTGTATTGGTTATCGGTCTGTTTCTGAGTACTAGTCAAGGTGCTAGTTGTCAGCTTTAAAGTCCTATATATCTTAGGACTGGGTTACCTGAGGAACCATCTTTTTCCAAGAAGTCCATTCAATTCAGTCCATTCAATTCAAAAGATTGGGGATGCTGAAGATCCCATCAGCTAAAGAGGGTCAGCTGGCAGGAACTAGAAGGTAAGCCTTTTCTGCTACAGTATGTGGAATATTCTCCCCTCTGAGATTAGAATAGCCCCAATCCTGTTGGCCTTTTGTAAGGCGTTAAAAATTTGGCCATGTATCTAGGCCTGGGGGTTCAAAATGTGTTAAGAGGACCCATTTACTTTCTTTATTATTAGTCGGTTAACTATCTTGGCTGCTGTATTGTATTTATTCTTTGGATATTTTTATTATTTTATTGTTTTTAATTTGGGGGGGGGGGGGTTAGAATTGTAAGCTGCCCAGAAATTGAATAAAGGCTATAGTAATTGAATGAATAAATAAAAATAAAAACTACCTATTCTCCTGTATTCTTGAAAAGCCAAGATACAGCAATAAGTAGCAAGACATTGTGTGTGTGTGTGTGTGTGTGTGTGTGTGTGTGTGTGTGTGTGTGTGTGTGTGTGTGTCTTTAATTTTTTCACTGTCTCAGACAAGTTTGCAAAGTACCAAATCTGACATCTCAGCATAGGGACAGAACTCTACCCTAGCCGATTATCTTTCCTTCAAGAGCTGGGTGTCGAATAAGGATGGACCTGCGATGAATTTTCTCTCTCCATAAAACTATGCTGCATGCACCTCAAGACTACCGGTTTCATGTGTATTCACCAATAAAAAATAAAGATACGTTACATTGATCTTGATTCCTGATTACTACGTTCATAAAGTATTCCTGGCAATATTATAAAGGCAGTTTGCCACAACCTTCTTCCAAAATGTTTTCCTGCCCCAGCTTCTCAATTTTGCAAACAATTTTTGAATTCCAAGTCCATCTTCTATCTGAATAGTAACTTGGGCCAACCATGCTTAGTCATTATGACAGCTAAAGTCAGCTACGTGCTACTACCGGTACTAGTATTATAGGATTAGATGGGGGGATTTGAGACCAGAGCTTTCCTGACCACAGCAAAGTCATACACTGCATTACACTGCTTCTGAAAACAATTGGTAGTATTGAAGAGGCGTAGTCAATATCTGAGGTAATTAAAATGAGGACCTAGATTGTTGGGGGCAATATGCTGACTCTGTGAACCGCTTAGAGCCGTGATGGCGAACCTATAGCACACGTGCCCGAACTGAAATGCGGAGCCACGTTGCCTGGTACGTGCGGCGTGGCCCGTTCCTCTTCCGGGTTTCTGGCATGCATATGCACGTGATGATCAGCTGGCCTTGGTGCATGTGGCAGTGCTGAAACTGGAAGAGCTGGTCTTCCATTTTCCTGCGTGATCATGTGCGCCGGCCAGCTGATCGTCGCACACACATGCGGCCAGTAACCCAGAAGACTAGCTGGCTGGTACGCATGCACATGCTGGAAACCAGAAGTTCATTTTTGGGCACGGACATACGCCCTGGCCAGCTCCTCTTCTGGGTTGCGACCCAGACTAGCACCCATATGCGCACTCCCTTTTCGGCACGCCATCACTGGCTTAGAGAGAGCTGTATAGCACTGAAAAGCGATATATAAATCTAAGTGCTACCCTGTTTTCCAGAAAATAAGACCCAACTGGAAAATAAGTCCTAGCATGATTTTTCAGGTTGCTCGTAATATAAGCCCTACCCCCCAAAATAAGCCCCAGTTAAGATTGTCAGCCAGATGGATGCATTTAGTACCGTTATTTCTCAAAAAATAAGGCCTAACCAGAAAATAAGCCTGTCAGTGTAATGCAAATTTAAAGCTGACCAGCCATTGTAAGGATGTGAGCCACCGTATCTAGATCCGTTCCAGTCGGGTTTCAGACCTGGGTACAGCACGGAAACGGCATTGGTCGTGTTGGTTGATGATCTCTGGAGGGCTCGGGACAGGGGTTGTTCCTCTGTCTTGGTCCTGTTAGATCTCTCAGCAGCTTTTGATACCATCGACCATGGTATCATGCTGCACCGGTTGGAAGAGTTGGGGGTGGGAGGCACCGTATTACGGTGGTTCTCCTCCTTTCTCTCCGACCGGTCGCAGTCTGTGTTGACAGGGGGGCAGAGGTCGACCCCGAGGCCCCTCATATGTGGGGTGCCGCAGGGATCGGTCCTCTCGCCCCTTTTGTTCAACATTTATGTAAAGCCACTGGGCGAGATCATCCGTGGTTTCAGGGTGAAGTACCACCAGTACGCTGACGACACCCAGCTGTACATCTCCACCCCGGACCACCCCAACGATGCCCTTGAAGTGATGTCCCAGTGCCTGGAGGCAGTACGGATCTGGATGGGGAGGAACAGGCTCAGGCTCAACCCATCCAAGACCGAGTGGCTGTGGTTTCCGACATCCCGATATAGTCAGCTGGTGCCATCACTGACTATTAGGGGTGAATCATTGGCCCCCATGGAAAGGGCTCGCAACCTGGGCGTCCTACTGGATTCATGGCTGTCTTTAGAAGAGCACTTGACGGCCGTGACCGGGAGGATTTTTCATCAGGTTCGCCTGATCCGCCAGTTGCGTCCCTTTCTAGATCGGGACTCCCTACACACAGTCACTCATGCCCTCGTCACCTCTTGTCTGGACTATTGTAACGCTCTCTACATGGGGCTCCCCTTGAGGTGCACTCGGAGGCTCCAACTGGCGCAGAGTGCGGCCGCGCAGGTGGTTATGGGGGCAACATGGAGCTCCCATGTAACACCTCTCCTGCGCGAGCTGCACTGGCTCCCGGTGGTCTTCTGAGTGCGCTTCAAGGTTTTGGTTACCACCTTTAAAGCACTCCATGGCTTAGGACCTGGTTATCTACGGGACCGCCTGCTACCACCAATAGCCTCCCACCGGCCAGTACGCTCCCATAGAGAGGGGCTCGTCCGGGTGCTGTCTGCCAAACAATGTCAACTGGTGGCCCCTAGGGGGAGAGCCTTCTCTGTGGGGGCACCTACGATCTGGAACGAACTCCCCCCGGAGATACAGAGGATCCCGGATCTTCGCACCTTCCGTCGCGCGCTTAAAACGTTTTTATTTCATCAAGCTGGCCTGGCCTAAATCTTCTCCTCTTTTAAATTTTAAACATAAATTTTAATCTGTTTAATTATGGGGTATTTTAAAATTCAGCCTAAATTATTTAATTTGTTTTAATTTATTTTAAATTTTGTATTTCTGTGTTTTATCTTCTGGCTGTTCACCGCCCTGAGTCCTTCAAAAGAAGGGCGGTATAGAAATTTAATAAAATAAATAAATAAAAAATAAATATGCGTGCTTGCCCACCACTTGCACAAATGGAGCTGTTTGCGTGCCTGCCCGCCATTCACGCGGAACCATCCCCTCTCCTCCCCCACCGGTCTGCAAAGCTGGAAATGTTGGGGAATTCTGATCTACAGAACCAACAGTGCTGGACA